TGTTCAAATTTTTACTTAAATTTACTGAGGCAAGAAATATTTATTTGGCTGTGACTCTCAATGTTATATCATCTTATCTAACATTTTTATAATTAAGATTTTATTTGCCCTTTTCCTTAAAAATGTTTTTCATTCTCAAATTGGTTATTTAATTTATAACATAAATCTTCTATTATAAATGCAAGCCTAGGTCATATTCTGGTTGATCACTTTTAGAGACCTTGTTTTTATAAGCACATCTCAAGTCAGACTTGATCTATTAAATTTTTCACAATATCCGCACCTGTAATTGCTTCCCCTTCTCTGGATTCTCATAACATATTATCTGTATATTTCTCATATAATTTTCATCACTTAATACTTTATCAAAGTTACACACATATGACCTTCCTCACTGGAACGAACTTCTAAAAGACAGGGCCTACTGATTCATTTTTGTATCCCCTCTGTGATCAGTGGAGTGCTTTATATGTAGGGTTCTCTAAGTAATTGCTAAATTAATAAAGCTTTTCTGCTAGAAGCAAATACCTAGAGCATAATTGGAAATAAATAAAAAGGTTTCCCTTTTGTGCGTAAAAAAAGGAAATCCAAATAAAAGTACTGAATCTTAATGTATCAGGTAAAAATTTGCCACCCCATCTACCCCTCAACAACAACAAAAAATCATAGTTTCCTCCTTTGGCCAAGTGACAAATAGCCTTGACATCTCATCTCTGACCAAATAAAACCTGTCAACATTGGTAGGGTCCAATTACTTTTAAAGTAGTCTGAAAGGATTACTTTTTTTCATTTCATTTTTGTCAAATGGCATATATATAGATCCTCATAAATCCCATATCAAAAAAAATACACATGTAAAACTGAACTCAGTAACATTTCCAGAGTAGAAACAGGTATAGTTGTTTTTCATATAAATATAATTCAGGTTTAAAGATTATAATGATTAGGTTACATATTTTAAAATAGCACTGTTTTTTTCTGATCCTAAATAGTCACAAGAATGTACAAAATATATTATTAATATTAGTTTTATTTGGTATATTTCAGAGCAATAGCAGAATAACATATCTATCTATGGTAATAACATCGTAAAAATGTTTGGTATTTTCAAAATAAAAGTAGGCAACATAGGCTGTGAATGTAAATAAAACAAGCAGACTTATTTTTTCCTTGACCAAAAATGCCTACTGCTAATTGTCCTAATTTCTGTGATACATCATGGAAAAGTGTCGAAATGCTTTTCAGCATATCCTATTTGAATATACTTACTATATTTCTATAATAAATGTAGACAATATCTATAGTTTATTGTTTTACTCTAGGACATACAGCAACTCCCAAAGGGACCATTTATGTCATGGGGCATATGGTGCTGGTGCTGGGTTTTTTTCAGTTTAAAAAAATTATTTTAACATGACATATCTATATACATATACACACACGTATATAGTGTGTGTATAAATATATATGGCTATATATGTGTTTGTGTATATATTTTTGATGCAGTTCTAAAAAATATTTCAACATTATTTGAGTGCTCAGGGAAGTAATATGATTTCTTTGAAATAAAGATCAAACAGACGCCACCATCTTCATTTGTGCAGGAAGCATACATATACTCAGTAGGCAAAATCAATTGTCTATTTCAGAGACTACTGATTTACTTAAAAACAAATGGAAAGAACAAACTATATTCATTATTTGGGTTTTTCTCATGATGATAGATGTTGATTAGCTAATGATTAAGATTACAAATCTATGGGATTAAAGTGCTTCTAAAAATATTATCCTAATCTATATGAATTATTTTAAGTTAACACATTGGTGTTGATAAAGGCATACAGCTACTTTATGTTTCTATATTGGTCCTCCTTACAGTATTCATGACTTATTTTGACTCCCACTCAATTTTTATACATTTCTTCTTTTTCCATATATACCAAATTATTTTATATTAGCCATGTTGGTGTTAATAATCTATAATGCATCAACTATCTATTTATTTATATCCTCTCTCATTGTGGAAAGTATTTGAGGCTAGTAATTTTATTTACTTATTTGTTTACTTTTTGAGTTGGAGTCTCACTCTCATCCAGGCTAGAGTGTACTGGCATGCTCATGGCCACCACAGCCTCAACCTGCTAGATTCACGTGATCCTTCCACCTCACTCAGCCTTCCAAGCAGCTGAAACTACAGGCACATGCCACCATGCCTCACTAATTTTTTATTTATTGTAAAGATGAGCTCTCGTCAAGTTGCGTGGGCTGGTCTTGAACCCTTGAGCTCAGGCAATCCTCTCACCTCGGCCTCCCAAAGTGCTGGGATTATAGGCATGAGCCACCATATCCAGCCAAGGTCAGTTATTTAATTACAAATTTTCATGTTTTGAAAACATGATTCCCAAGTTGTTCTTCTGATTCAACTCAAAGTCATCTCATCTATGACTCTTTTTTGACCATCCCAAATTAGTAGAATTTGCATGTGTTGATGAGAGGAGTGGTAAGAAATTATTCATTTATTTTTCTGTTATAATGCTAACAGGGATGAAGGCAAAAAGTGAAAATATGGAAAGAGGAAGACAATTAGCCCATAATAGATGGCAAAAATCACTAGTAATTATTTTTAAATGACAATTAGAGAAAGACACATAAGCCAATCAAACACAGTGTCAAACGGACAGTTTCCCAGAATCTCATCCTAGTATTCTACTCTAATGCTCTTAGTTGTCATCCACAACTGCCACCTATCTCCTGCTACTTGAAACATGATTCAGGTACAACTATTGCTTTTGACTTTTTTTTTTTTTTCTAAAGAAGGCAGTCTTTTCTGATATGTAAAACTGAACATAACTCCTCAGAGAATTCTTATATTTTTCAGAGCACAATCAAAGACTAAACTAAATAAAGGATTTTATATTTAATGACATGAATACATGGCTTATCAATAATTTTTTGAAGTCACAATCTTTACTTTGTATTTCAAATACACTAAGATAGAAACAATAAAATATCTAGTGTCATATGAATTTCTGCAAATTGGAACAATTACTGTCTTTTCACATGGACCACAGAGAAAGAGCAAAATATAATGGAAATGTCAAACCATGTTAGGATTTCTCTGATTTGAGAAAGAGAGAATTTGTAGGGTTTTTAACTTTCATGTACTTTTTAATATTTACACACTTATATTTAAATATACTTATATACTTCTAACTACAATTACTACTTGTTTGGTTATTCCAAAGTGCTACATGTATCTACCTTTCAAAAATTCGACTCAGAAGAAAAAGGAGAATTAATTTACTTGGGTTAAATCTTATTAAAACACTTTCTATGGTCATTTAATATATTTAAGCATAATATATTACATGATGTCTGTCCAAATTATCCACCCTGGCTTATATCATTTACATATTGACAATTGCATTTATGTGGCCTTTGCAGAAGGTGAGAAGATCAGAACATTATTTTATGGAGTTAGAAGAAGAATAATTAACAGATATTACAATTTTAAATTCCAAATTCAGAAATAACTAGGCCTATGAGATAGAAAAGTTACTCGCTTTGTACTATTTATTCAAATTTAATTCCATCAATGTTAAAACTTAATATTAGGTACTAATTATGTAATTCTCATGGTTTTATGTTTTATTAATTTAATGAGTAAATTTAAATATAAAATTTAAAGAATAAAAAATGAAAAAAATGGTCAGGCTCGGTGGCTCGGCCTGTAATCCCGTGCTTTGGGAGGCTGAGGTGAGTGGATTGCCTGCGCCCGCGGGTTCGAGACCCACCTGGACAACTTGGCAATACCTCATCTCTACAGTAAATAAAAAAATTAGCCAAGTGTGGTAGCACACGCCTGTAATTCCAGCAGGTCGAGGCTGTGGTGGCCAGGAGCGGCCACTGCACTCCAGTCTGGGTGACAGTGTGCGACTCCAACTCAAAAAAAAAAAAAGAAAAAGAAAAAATTTGCAGATAAATTTTAACTTTGAAAAATAATCAACTCGTGCAACATCAGGAAAATATAACCATAGAAAGAAAACAGAACAAAAGCTCCTATAGTCTTAGATCTAATAAAATTCTAAAGCAACGTATGCAGCAGTAAAGCAAAACACCCTTCTGAATATTTCTCATTCTTACAATTGTTTCCAATGTAGTAGAACCAGTTATAGAAGGTCCAAAACCTGTCTAAGAATAGTATTTTTTTGCTAAGAGCAATCTTTCCTGTAGGAAACTAATAGAAATTTCCATACAGAATGATTTAGTAAATATGTTAATTAAAATTATTCAGTCAACTTTACTAAATATTAGCAAAGTTTCAATCCACTAAAATAAAATTATTAACTCATGATCTTGATTTAAAGAAGTCTCTAAAGATATTAAATATTATGTTCCTTTGAAATATAAATATACATCTAGGTCACCTAAATACCCATTTATAGACAAGAAAAGATAATTGCTTTAATACAGCTATAAATATATCAGAAATTATTTTCATCATAAAAATAAACATGATTGGTCTGTAACTATTCTGTTAACACTCATCATTAGATTACAAGTGTTAAAATTTTTTCATAACATTTAAATGTATACTATTCAAGGATGAGAGAAAAGCAGATTACATTATCAACTTTTCTTTGACTCTATGCTATGATACTACTTGATACCAGGAATGCCTAGAGCAGAGAGAGATTGCAGATAATTAAGACATTTGATCTAAAGGTAAGGAGTAAAATATATTTTCTAAAAAGAAGTACAAATAATAGAAAGCTAAGAAAACAATTACATGATTCTTAATAGGCAAAAGCTTTGGATTTTTATTTATCACAAGATATATTTCTTTTTACTTAGTATGCAAAGAAAATAGCTATGATTTTAAGAGTAAATTTGGACAAAACACTTTTGTAAGTATACTTTAAATGTTTATCTATAAAAAGGTACATTGATATGCTGAGTTTTTGTGGAATCATAATTAAAATGAAACAAAAAAAAATTACCAGAAGTTGGAGATTTGCAGCGATCCTCTGGGACTACAGTCCCTTCACTAATATCGCACAGACCTGCTAAAAAACAAAAACAAAAACAAATCACACCCCAAATTTATATAAATGCAGTTTTGTCTTCTATTTACAGAATGCATTTAACTATTGTCTATTTGAAAGAACCCAGAAAATTAACACGTGTTATTGTTGATACTGTGCTCATTAGGTTTGAGATAGGAACACAGGAAGACGTTATTACAATACCTCAAACTAACACAATCATCAGTTAAACAAAAATATAATCTGTGATAAAATACAAAATAAAAAATTAGTTTGAATATTAATTTGGTGATTGAAATAAAAGTTTTAAAACTCCTGAAAATTATTTATACATCATAAATAAAAAGAATACATCAGGAGTTTGGACTAGCTATGCAACAAACAAGGGGTCCCATGTCTGAGCCTCAGAAATCAGGTGTCACATCAACATATAAGATGTGCGTGTATGACCAGTATCTGCTTTTCTATTACTTTGGTAAAACGCAGATGTCACAATCTCTAACACCACTCAGAAAACTTTTACAATACATTTTCAGAGAATGCTGAAAGCGTCGTTTTGTGTTTACAAGAAGTATCTGGAATCATATATTACTTATTATTTGTCTTCATTGGGTAGGAAGTTCTAGAATGAAAATTAGTAATGTTTTTTAAAAAATCTTCATGGTAGCCAGGCTCAGTGGCTCAGCCTGTAATCCTGCGCCTTGGGAGGCTGAGGTGAGTGAATTGCCTGAGCCCGCGGGTTCGAGACCCGCCTGGGCAACTTGGCGAGACCTCATCTCTACAATAAATAAAAAATCAGCCGGGCGTGGTAGTGTGCGCCTGTAGTTCCAGCTACTCGGAAGGCTGAGGTGGTAGGATCGCTGGAGCCCAGCAGGTCGAGGCTGCGGTGGCCAGGAGCAGCCACTGCACTCCAGTCTGGGTGACAGAGTGAGACTTCAACTCAAAAAAAAAAAAAAAAAAAAAATCTTCATGGTTCTAGGAAAAAGCGTGATTTTTATAGTTCTAAAATGATAGATATAAGGCATGCATTTAATCTGATAAAATATTTATATAAATATACTCTTTCTTGAGAGAATAATAAGATAGCAGATCTCTAAATAGTAGTGATAACATACTTCAGTATGATAATGTACCTGGTACTGAAGAAAATAAGCAAATTTGAAATTTTCACCACTTGGTATTTTTAAACAACTGCTACTAAATACTATAGAGGAAATTATTTTGAGATTTGAGTTGAGGGTCCTTATGATATAAATACTACTAAACTTACTGATTAAGGGAACTATTAAATTTATGTGATAAAGTTCTCATTCTTAAAATGGCCAAGAAGCTGAATTAAAGAATGTGCATAGAGATTATTTAATTTAGATATTCAATTTATTACAATGACCATTTGACCATTAGATGAGCTAAAGATCCCCTTCAGTGCCTTCTACCCCACTTAGTAAAAGCCAAAGTCCACCCTTACATGGTTGGGTGAGGTATATACTACGATATGGCATACGATACCCTATTACCTGTCACACTTTATTTCCTTCTTCCACCTACTTTCCCCGCATCTGCACTCTTTACTCTAGCTACATTGTCTCCTCATTGTACTTTGAACTCATCAGGTATATTGCCTCAGAGCCATTTGTGCTTCTTGTTCTTTTGCTTGAAATGTTTTTTTTCCCCACCAGACATTCTCAGAGATAACAGCTCTTTGACTTCTTTAAATCTAAAGTCATCTGGACACTCTATTTTAAATCTGACCCCATCAGTGATATTTCAAATCTCCCTTCCTTCAATTATTTTTCCCTTTGGCATTATTAATGTAATTTCTATATATTACTTATCTTCTCAATTGTGTCTTTTCCAATACAACATGAGTTCCATGAGGGCAAAGATCTTTGTATGTTTTGTTGCCTATGATGATGGTACACAGCACATGGTAGCCGCTCAACAAATACTTGTTTAACGGTTGAGTGAACATATGTGGAAGAATTTTAAAGTATATAATCTATTAATAATCCATCCTCTCTGTTACTGCCAGAATTCCTTCAACAGATAATTTCTAGCATATAGTTATCCATGTTCTGCTCAAATGTATCCCAATCCAGTGAGCTAGCTGGACATCACAGACATTTACTGAGTGCCAGATACTATTTTAAGTAATTAACTCTTTAACCCTCACAGCAGCAAATGATGTAGACAGAATTATTCTCATTTTACAAAGAAGAAACTGAGTGTTTTAGGCATTTTCTACAGGAACAAAAACCTAATTACTTCAGAAGACAGTCTACCTCATTGCCACCATTACAAGATATTTTACTGGTAGAAAAGTTCAGCACACATTAAGTCAAAACCTGCTTTTTAAAAAATAATCTGCTATAAGTATGAGGACAAAATACAATATAAATATAGAAGCATAATTTGAAATCTATACTTCTCAAATTTGTGTACTCAGCAGTTTTGTCACATTACTGGCTCACATTAAGTTGCAGTCAATATTAACAAAACAACCACTTGAGTGCCAACTATGTTCTAGTCACAAGATTAGGTATGCTGCATGTATCATCTCACTTAACGATTATTTATGAAGGAATAATCATCTCCATTTTTATAAATGAGGACACTGAGCCTCAGAGAAATATCTTTTCTAATATCATGCACTTAAAAAAGGGGTGATAGGCCGGGCTCGGTGGCTCAGCCTGTAATGACGCGCCTTTGGGAGGCTGAGGTGAGTGGATTGCCTGAGCCCGCGGGTTCGAGACCCGCCTGGGCAGTGAGACCTCATCTCTACAATAAAATCAAAAAATCAGCCGGGCGTGGTAGCGCATGCCTGTAATTCCAGCTACTCGGAAGGCTGAGGTGGAAGGATCGCCGGAGCCCAGCAAGTCGAGGCTGTGGTGGCCGGGAGTGGCCACAGCACTCCAGTCTGGGCAACAGAGTGAGATTCCGACTCAAAAAAAAAAAAAGGGGGGTGATATTTACACTAAGATCTGCCTAAACTAACAAAATGTCTAAGTGTGTTTCATGTGTACTACTCTTGAGCCAGTTTTCTCTGTTCTGTATGTATGTAATCCATCTTCATAACCTAAACACAGGAATTAACTTTTATTGCTGAGAAATTTAATTTCTTTGGCTTAAATTTACTGTTTCTACCTATAAATTATCTTTTTAAGTTGTTACTCTGCCATCTAATGTAGTAGTTACCCCTTAAAAACAGTGACAATTTTGACAAGCATACCTTTTCTTTTAAAAGTCCAGATAAGAAGCTTAATTTATGACTTAAAATAGGCAACAAAACACAGTGATCTGTTATTTAACATAATATGTCCATTAACTGAGGGATACTATATCAAGGCTAATATTAGACCACAAATGAACCAAGTACCATGTTTTAAACCCAGGTGGCTGGCAAATGCTTGCTGTAAATATCCAGACAGTAAACAGCTTAGGTTTTTGAGTCACAGTTGCAATCACTCGGCTGTAATGTTGCAGCACAAAAGCAGCCACAGATAACACATAAACAAATGAGCATGGCACAGATCCCATACAACTGTTTGGTCTGCAGACAATAGTTTGCCAACGCCCTTGTTTAATCAATCTTGCAGTCATGAAACTGAACTAGGTATTTGGGACACTTCTACTGTCTGATTCAATTCATTCTTCAATTGAGGTCCTAGATCTTCTTAGCCAAACACTGCTGTGTTACAGTACTTACTGATCCATTATTGATTATCCTTTATTTCTTACATATGATATCTTTTGCTTCTTATGCCACACATACACATACAGGGAAATTTTCAATCAGTACAACTGGACTCCAAAACAATTTCTTTTTTTTTAATCTTATTGAAAATATTGAAGACTCAAAAGTATTTGCAGTTGTAGTTTTAAAAAAATCATTTTTAGAGCCTCCTATCTATAACTTAAAAAAAAATCTTTCCTAAAGTTTAGATACAGTTTTAACTGTAACTTCCTGCTTTATGATGACCAACTTCCAAGAATAAGCAAGCACTTTTCTTTTTGTGTCTGTCACTTCTACATCACTAATGAGATATCATTTGGGATTTAGAATTATATTCAGAATAGAAATTTCATTGTAGTGTCCTTCATATTCTGATACAATGACTAGCAAAACAAGGCATATATTATCCCATAGTTCATTTTTAGCAGAATCAGACCTTTAGCAGATACACAGGTAGTTGAAATACTTCATTACTATTTGACCCCCATGAAAATGTAGTGTACATTTTAGTTAATAATACAACTGTATTATAATACAGCTATAATATATTTAAACTTAGCCAAAACAGTTTCATCTTTTAAAATGAGTGAACTAGGGTCTTTATGAAAATATGTCAGCATCCATTACTAGCAATAAAAAATTTCCAACACACTGATCTATTAAAAAAGACTGAAGAACAATTTGACAGTATTTGGACTACACCTCAAAAATATGTTATAAAATATACACTCTAGTAAGAATATAATTTTTACATCACTACAATTAAAGAATCTTAGTACCAATTATTCTATATTTAAGTATAAGTATCTTTTGAAATTAGAGGCAGAAATATTCTTAAGATGTTATTTTAAAGCTTATTTTATTTTATTTTTTCTCTCACTTTTAATTTTTATTTTGAAATTGTAGGGTACAATTCAGGGTTAGGTATACAAATGTTCCTTGTGCAGGTATCCTTATTGATGAGGTGTAAATTCAAGATTCCCCAGATTATGACCTGCTTATGGTTACAAAAGGACAAAGAAGAGTGGGGAATTTTCTTTTAATTTTTATTTAAAACATAAACCTAAATATTGATAAAGTGAGGCATAATAACATTGGATAAATATCTTTAATAAAGAAAAACTCAAATAGTTCTCCTGTGCCTAAATATCTAATCATTCAATATACAATGAAGCAAAAAATAATATAAATAATGTGTGCTGTCGGGTTTACTAAAGAATAATATAGCCGGGCTCAGTGGCTCAGCCTATAATCCCGCACCTTTAGGAGGCTGAGGTGAGTGGATTGCCTGAGCCCGCGGGTTCGAGACCCGCCTGGGCAGCGAGACCTCATCTCTACAATAAATCAAAAAACCAGTCGGGCGTGGTAGCGCATGCCTGTAATTCTGGCTACTTGGAAGGCTGAGGCGGAAGGATCGCCGGAGCCCAGCAGGTCGAGGCTGCGGTGGCCGGGAGCGGCCACTGCACTCCAGTCTGGGCGACAGAGTGAGATTTCAACTCAAAAAAACAAACAAAAAAAAGAATAATATAGGAGGCAGTAAAATTTAAATAAAAATTTTAAACATTAGACTGGTATCTATACTTAGATAAATGTAGATATTTAATTTCTAGCAATTTTATGCAAACTACTATAAGTTATGAAGGAGAAACATGATTAATTTTAGGATTAGTAAAATTTTTATTCCATGTTTGCAAATAAATTGCTTAAAGGTTTTTGTTTTCCAAATATATTCCTTCTCTGTCATGATAATGTTCTAACAGTCTAACTTTAAATATTAATATCTTTGCTTTATAAAGAAATAGGATTGGGACACAGGCATTTAAATAGCTGTCTTCACGAGATGAATCTAAGTAATGAGTATAGGGTTTTAGACATAGAACATTTTAATAAGCTCTTTTAAAAATTAAATTAAAAAAACAATGATTTTACAAAGAACAAACATGCCAAGGCATAAATGACTTACTTAAAAAAGAAGAACGAAGTTTTTTCACAGACTCAGAATATAAGCTAGAAAGGCCGCACATGCAAGAAGTCACAATCAGTACACCTTAGTGAAGCAATGAAAAGGGGAAGAAAAAAAAAGCAGACAAAGATACTAGAATGGTATGGTGGGACAATCTCTCCTGAAGATATTACATGACAAAATGATCACATACAAAACAAAAAAAAACAAAAAAAAACTTTCAAAAGAAAAATTCAATCATAAAGCCAAAGTGACAGAAAGGTATACATCCCCTCATCCTTTTTTAAAATTTTTCTCATGAATCAGAAAATTGGTAGTATTAGCTAATATTGTGCTAAAAGCAACTGAAAAATTAATTAAAGAGACAAATTTAATTCCGAAGAAATGAGTTAGGAAGTATAAACGAGAACTTCCCAAACAGTGTTCCAACATACTTCTGCCAGTTCACTAAGTATACCCAGTATAGGGTTACCCTTAGTCCCTGATCCAGCTGGGCCATAGGCCAGTTACTAATGAAAGCCTCATTAGTGTATCCTGGGTGCTATATAGCAAATGCCATTTTCTGTGTGTCATGAAATCAAAAAAGGCAAGAAGTACTGCTATAGACAGCTAACTACACGTGTTTCTTGAGGTATTAGTGTTAAAACATTTGGGTTTTCTAATTATTTGCTAGATACAAAAGTATTTGCTATAATTAGCAATGAATCCAGGCTTCCACCAAATCAAGGCAATCTGAGAATGCTATATTTTCTTAAAATTAAAAAATTAAAATTCACTTTTGCATCTACATTTTTTTCACATGAAAATGATTCCTTTAAATTAAATAGCTGAAACAATAAATAATTGGTCTCACAGAGACCAAACAATAAGAAGAAGCAAAAAGTCTGTCATTAAATTTTGCTCTAAAATAATGAGAAAAATATTCCAGTCATTAAAATTTAGCTGAAAAAGTTGGACTTGTAGTTCTTTCTCATTATTAAGTAAAATCCTAGAATATTAAAAAAATAAAAGCAAAAACCAACAATACAAAACAAAAACAGACTCACACCTTTTGCTAGCTTTTGACAGTTTATATATACATACTGAATCAGGCAAGTATTTGCCTAACTAAAGCACTTATATTCACAGAAGTAAGTCTGTATTTAAAGAAATCCTAAAGCTCCGGATATTTTTTCTTTTCTTTTTACCTCCTGAAGGTTGTCGAGATTTACGAGGAGATCGGGGTTCTCGCCGATAAGGATCATTAGAGCCATATAATTCAATAGTGCCCAGGTTAAGCAGCACAGCTTTCTGGAGGTAGTCAACCATAGCAATGCCATTACAATTGCCAAAAACCACCCTGGAAATAGGAAAAGAGCAAACAAATAATTACAAGATTATAAGAAAATAAACTGTAATCTACAAAGTCTTTCAGAAAATTCTTCTTTGAAACAAAAGACAACCACAGGCATGGAAGTCCAGGTTACATATGCCTTCTCACATAAAAGTTTAGATCTTCTACAGACATTAATTATTAAATATCATTAAATCAATTTATTATATTATTAAAAACATATCTGGCATAGGAACTGAGATTTGATTAGAGACCTAAATCTCTCATACTAGGCAGTGCAATAACTACTTTTTCTGCCTTTAGGACAAAACATACTCTTTCTCTAGGCAAGTAGGAGATTATACACTGGAGAAAATGAGATAATCCCAACAGTCAAGAATAAAAAGTAGAAGTCTTGGAGGTTTCTCTTTAGGGTGTTCTAAATATCTTCTCCTTTATGAGTTAGGAACTATAAAGCAATAAAATATGAATAAAATAATTGTATTAAGATTTTCTTAAGCCAAGAATTGAAAACTGACATGTGCAGAGGGACTGTATAAGTAAGTAAAGAGGTCATGTAAGGACAGTGGTGATTTAAAGAGTATATGATATATCTAAAGAGAAAAAACGTCAACTCAGTTCTAGCTGACTACTGCCAAGAAAAGTGGACATGGGTCAGAATCAGATTTTTAAACTGAAGCTCTAACTGTGGATTTACACATAATAAAGTTTCGGATACTGATTAAAATTTTTAAAATACAGCTGAAAAACTCCTGGGTCAACATGGATATCAAAGCAGAAATTAAAGATTTCTGGAAACAAATGAAAATAAAGACACATCTAACAAAACCTCTGGGATGTCATGAAAGCAGTACTGAAAGGGGAATTCATTTCTTTATGAACACACATCAAGAAAATGGAGAGAGCATAAGTTGTCAGTCTAACAAATCACCTAGGGAACCTGGGAAGACAAGATCATCAAAACCTTAACTTCAGTAGAAGAATACAGATCACCAAAGTGAAAGCTCAAATACAGGATATAGAAGAAAAAAATATCATAGAAAAAAACTGACAAAACCAAACCTGGTTCTTTGAAAGGATAAACAACATTGACAGACTCCTAGCCAAAATGACCAAGAAAAAGAGAGAAAAGTCCAAAATAAATGCAATCAGAAATGCAAAAGATCAAATCACAATGGACCCTGAAGAAATACAAAAAATTATCAGAAATTACTATGTACACCTGTATGGAAACAAACCTGAAAACCTAAATGAAATGGAGGACATTCTGACATCAAACAACCTCCTGATGTTGATACAAAAAGAAATTGAGACATTAAATAGACCAATAATAACCCAGGAAATAGACTCCATCATAAGAAAGCTACCCAAAATAAAAAAAAAAATCCTGGACCAGACAGTATTCCAGCGAAGTTCTACAAAATATACAAGGAGTTGATACCAATTCTACTGAAAGTATTGCAAACAATCGAGAAAGACAGAACTCGTCCCAAATCATTTTATGACGTTAATATCATACTGACCCAAACCAGGTAAACATCCAACAAAGAAAGAGAGCTATAGGCCAATATCCCTGATGAAGATAGATGAAAAAATACTCAACAAGAGTCTAGCAAATTGGACCAAACAACACATCTCAAGAATCATCCACCATGACCAAGTAGGCTTCATCCCTAGGATGCAGGGCTGGTTCAACATCCACAAGACCATAAATGTAATTAAATATATCAACAGATTTAAAAATAGGAATCACATGATTATATCATTAGATGCTGAGAAAGCCTTTGATAAAATCCAACATCCCTTCTTGATTAAAAAAAACACCGTGAATACTGAGGCATAGAGGGCATGTACCTTCAAATAGTAAGAGCCATCACGATAAACCACAGCCAACATATTTCTAAAAATTGGAAGAATTTCCCCTGAAAAACAGAATAAGACAAGGCTGCCCACTTTCACCCATCCTGTTCAATAGAGTGTTAGAAGTCCTAGCTAGAGCAATCAGACAGGGGAAGGAAATCAGGTGCATCCAAACAGGAAAAGAGGAAGACAAGTAATCCCTCTTTGCTGATGATATGATTTTATACCTCGAAAATCCAAGAGAATCTGTCAAAAACCTTCTTGCACTAATAAAGAATTCTGGCAAAGTCTCAGGGTACAAAATCAACATGCAAAAGATAGTCGCGCTTTCATACACCAATAACAAACAAGCAGAGAACCAAATAAAAAGCACAATCCCGTTCATAATAGCAACAAAAAAAAATAAAATACCTCAGCATCTTCCTAACCAGAGAAATGAAAGATTTTTACAACAAAACTAAAAAACTCTGCTCAAAAAATCAAAGATGAGACAGACAGATGGAATATATTCCATGCTCATAGACTGGAAGAATCAAAATTGTTAAGATATCCACCCCACCCAAGACAATCTACAGATTTAATGTAATACCCATTAAATTACCAGCATCATTCTTCTCAGACCTAGAAATGACAGTACAGAAATTCACAAGAAAACATAAATGACTACAAATCGCCAAAATAATCTTCAGCAAAGGAAACAAAGTAGGAGGTATATACAAACTTTAAACTATATTAAAAGGCTATAATGATCAAAATACAAGAACTGGCATATAGACCAATGCAACAGGAAAGAGATTCCAGAAACAAAACCTCAATTTCCTAACCAACTAATCTTCAACAAAGCCTCCACTAACAACCACTGGGGAGAGGAGAATTTATTCAGTAAATGGTGTTGGGAAAACTGGCTGACCACATGCAGAAGATCAAGACCCTTACCTATCATCATATACAAAAATCAACTCTAAATGGATCAAAGACCTAAACATAAAAGTTCAAACGATAAGAACCTTAGAAAATGCAGGAGACACTCTTATGGAAACTGGAACTGGCAATCAATTCCTGATTAAAAGTCCAAATGCCCATGCCAAAAGAGATAAGATAAGCCAGACTCAGTGGCTCAGCCTGTAATCACGTGCCTTTGGGAGGTTGAGGTGAGTGGATTGCCTGAGCCCGCGGGTTCGAGACCCGCCTGGGCAGCAAGACCTCATCTCTACAATAATCAAAAAAACAGCCAGGTGTGGTAGCGCATGCCTGTAATTCCAGCTACTCAGAAGGCTGAGGCAGAAGGACTGCCAGAGCCCAGCAGGTGAGGCTGCGGTGGCTGGGAGCGGTCACTGAACTCCAGTCTGGGCGACAGAGTGAGACTACAACTCAAAAAAAACCAAAAAAAACAAAAGAGATAAGATAAACAAATTGGACCTCATCAAACGGAAAAGCTTCTGCAAAGCAAAAGAAACCATCAAGAGAACAGGGAGACAGCCCACAGAATGGGACAAAACATCTGCCAACTGTATATCTGACAAAGGCCTAACATCTAGGATCTACAAGAAACTTGAACATGCAGAAATGAAAAAAAAAAAGTTCTATTAAAAAGTGGGCAAAAGATATGAATAGATACTTCTCAAATGAATACATACAAGCAGCCAACAGATAAATGAAAAAATTCTCAGCTTCACTAATCATCAAAGAAATGCAAATAAAAACCACACTGAGATGCCACCTAACTCCAGTCATGATGGCCATCATCAATAACAAAAAACAAGAGACCCTGGAAAGGATGTGGAGTAAAGAGAACACTTCTACACTGTTGATGGGAATGTAAACTAGTACAACTTCTGTGGAAAACAGTATGCCAATTTTTAAAAGATCTAAAAATCAACTTTCCATATGACCCATCAATCTCCATTCTGGGAATATAGCCGGAGGAAACAAATCACTCTATGAAAAAGATACCTGCACACGCATGTTTATTCAGCATTATTCACAATAGCAAAAACATGGAACCAACCAGGCTGCCCATCAAAAGTAGATGGGATTTAAAAAGATGTGGTAGCCGGGCTCGGTGGCTCAGCCTATAATCCCACGCCTTTGGGAGGCTGAGGTGAGTGGATTGCCTGAGCCCGCGGGTTCGAGACCCGCCTGGGCAGCGAGACCTCATCTCTACAATAAATCAAAAAATCAGCTGGGCGTGGTAGCGCATGCCAGTAATTCCGGCTACTCGGAAGGCCGAGGCGGAAGGATCGCCAGAGCCCAGCAGGTCGAGGTTGCGGTGGCCGGGAGCGGCCACTGCACTCCAGTCTGGGAGACAGAGTGAGATTCCAACTCAAAAAAAATAAAAAAATAAAAAATAAAATGAAATAAAAAGATGTGGTACATATATTAGATAGAATATTATGCACCCATAAAGAAGGACAAAATTATGACCTTCACAGCAACTGGGATGGTAGAATCTATAATACTTAGTGATCTATCACATAAACAAATAACTGAGTTCCACATGTTCTCACTCATAAGTGGACCCTGAACAATTATCATGATACTAGAAGAAAGGGATTGGCAGTACTGGAAACAGCCAGGGGAGAGGGAAGAAGGCACATTTCATCTATAAGGATATCTAATCTCAAACCAGGTAAAGTGGGGACCAAAGTGAAGCCCAAACTATACCTATACAATGACCATTTGTATACCTAACCCTGAAATGCACTCCGTATCTTTAAAATACATATTTTTTTTAAGTTTTAAAAACAAGAGAAAAGGCCAAACAAAATACAACTGTGAATCCAGTGAAGACTGTAATGAATTGACTTGTAACTTCCATTGAAACTTCCTGTTAGTAATTTTCCTTATTTCCTGTTTGTTTTCTTTATGGTTGTGGAAAATGAAATATTCAAAACAAAAATGCCTGTGCTCTTACATTATGTGACAGCAAATAAAAGGTATGAAAGAAGACTATCACAGACTATAACTTGTGTTGGTTTGGTGTACATTCATTCCTCAGTATTTTCAAGGAATCGGTTCTAGGACCCAAGCAGGGACCAAAATCTGAGGATGCTCAAGACCCTGATATAAAGTGGCATAGTATTTGCATATAACTTATGCACATCAACCTGTACACTTTAAATTATTTTTATTTATATAGCCTAATGCAATATATACTGTGTATGATTTTTATACTGTATTTTAAAATTTGCATTTTTAAAAACTGCTATTTATTATTTTTATTTTTAAGTATTTTTGATCTGCAGTTGGTTGAATCCATGGATGTTGAACACCTGGACACAGAGGGCTAACTGTACACTCACAAGAAACAGAGCAGGTGTTGGGAGAAACCAGGAAGACAAAAAATGAATGAGTTCCTAGGACTTGCATCCAAGAAGGAGATAGTGAACTACACAAGATAAATAGCTCTGTGACTACAAGATAAATAGCTCTGGGACTGAATAGCTAGAAGTTTCTTCCACGGTCATGTTGACTTTTGAAACAAAAAAATAAAAGCTTTATAAGTCTGTCAATAAAAAGTATGTATAATTAATGCTATATATTTGAAGACATAAACTGATAAAACAAATATACTGTAGTATAGACCAATACTTTACTAAATTATTATGACTTACAATTTATACAAGTTAACTGGAAGTAGAAAGAAAAACTATATAGCTATGGTTCAACATTTACAAAATCAGTTTATAATACAGTCTTCTGGATCCAAGTTTGCAGACTTCCATTATACTAAAGATTAATAAGAAAATTATTTCTGGAAATATATCCAGGAGAGGCTATATTGACTTTAAAACTTTATCTCAAATAATTCACTGAACCATGAGATACTTTACATTAGGAAGCGTGTAAATACACCTTCAGAAAGTAAATTATTCAGAACAAAATGATATTCCAAATAAACAATGAATTTGGTCTGAAGTGAAAGTTATGCAATAACATTTTAGATGACAATGTAACAAAGACCATCCTTTCTGTTTTTAAAAACAAAATCACATATGGAATACTATGCGTAAACTGAGAAAAACATAACTTATACTTACAATCCATAGGAAGAATTGACCGCCAGGCTGGTGATTTGTTGTGGTGGTTCTCCACCCACCCATACCAACTGAATAACTAGTTCTGTCTGATAACCTGGAGACTGCTTAAGTGGTGAGTTTTTAACTCTAAAATAAAAGAAAACATGTTGCTTTTTAACCCATTTTCAATTATCTTATTAGCCTATATAATTATAAATAGCTTTTATATAAAACTATACTAGATATTTTTAAAAAATCAGAATTCTATACTCTAGAAGCGTTTAACTAGTTGGAATCCTATCCTCTAGAAGCACTGAATCTAGTTGGATAGACAAAACAAGTATGTAAATAACACAAACAAGAAATCACATGCAAACTCCACATATATAATGGAGGAGGACGGCAGGGGTAAAGGAGAAGGTGGGAAAGTAACAAGTAGGGAGACAAGAGAGGAAGGATGAAAGAAGGGTGGGGGGCTGGAGAGGGGGTGGGGAGATGCAGCAGCCCAAGAATTAATAAAAAGTCAGGTTATAAAAAAATGCATGTTAGAGAAGCAGATATAAAACTTTTACAAAGTTTTATACAAAAGAGTTAACAAAATGAAAACTGGCCAAAAACATACACGTTAAAGAACAAGCTAAAGACAAATGTGAGTAATTTATTTTTGCGTGTGCCTACTTTTACTATAAAACAAATCTACCTTGATTTGGAGGTGACAGCATTTTTCATTGCACAGACTATTTCCCCATTAACTGCTAAATAAAAGAAAAAATAATGCTCTTGCAAAATATATGCAAATAAAGCAGAAAACCCATATTCAAGATTAATAAGTGCAACTTTGGTCACACTGGAAAATGTGTTTAGTAAAAATGAGAAATCAATCCAGCAGAATAGGCCAAAGCCAGACTTTAGAGGGTCTTCAAGGCCTGACCACAAGGGTCTGATGTTGGTAGAAAGAACTCTGAGCTCTGGGAAAGCTGGGATTTGTGTCCTTGCTCTGCAACTTACTATCTGTCCCTTCATTGGACTATTACTACATAACCATGACATGGGGAAATCGGGAGTGCCTAATTAGACAAAAGTAACATTTTCACTATTAAAGAATTAAAAGTCAATGAAGGCTTACAAGAAATATTTGGGGAAGATTAATTTGGTGGACATATATAAGATGAAGTAGAATAAATAGGGAAGCCAATTAGGAAGTTCCTGTGATTCGGATATGAAACAAGAAAAAGGTAGATCCGAAACACATTACAGAGTAAGAATCAACAAAGCTTTTAAGTTTCAGGAAGGCAGAAACCTTGCATTGCAGCTATTTTTGTTGTTACTGTTTTTGTTTTTGAGACAGGATCTCACTCTGCTGACCATACTGGAATGCAATGGCACAATCATAGCTCCCGGCAGTCTTGAACCCCTGAGCTCAAATGAGCCTTCCACCTTAGCCTCCCAAGTAGCTATGACTGCAGATGCACACTACCATGCCCAAAAGATTTTAAAATTATTCTGCAGAGACAGGGTCTTGCTATGGTGCCCAGGCTGGTCTCAAACTCCTAGCCTTAAGTGATCTTTCTGCCTTAATCTCCCAAAGTCTTGGGCTGACAGGCATAAGACACATCTGTGCACTACTTTTAGTACTTTGGTTCAAAGGAAGTACTCAATATTTATTGAATGAATGAATAAGCTAGAGACTGATTAGAGGAAAGAGCAGAAGGAAAAAAAGATACAATGATTCCACAGTTGTAAGGAAGGGAGGCAGAGAGGCCTGCTGAAGAGGTAGGCGACAATGTGGTTAAGTCCGAGGTGGTAGATAACTAAAAGTGAAACTACTCAGCAGGTAGTTAAAAGTATCCCCAAACTTCATGAATAGTAAGGTCATGCTAAACTTACATTGATTAAACTTGTGATAAGTATGTTAGAAAGGATAAATCAAAAAAGAGCTTTTAAGAGTGTGAGATTGTCTTAGACAATAGCTGTTATATCAGAAAACCTCAAGTTAATTTGAAAGATACATTTAAAAAAAAACATTAATTTATTTGTGTGTGACTATGTTTAACGTTAAAAAATATACTGTGACTTTAAGTTGAGTTGAAAACATTTTTGACTGCACAAACTCATTCCCTAATAATTGGTGTAGCAAGATGTAGGCAAAGCCTGGTTACTTCAACAATTCTTAAGGCTACTGCCTTGACAGGGAATGAAGGACAGCTGGAAGACTATGCAATGTTTGATCTCCTAACACCAAACTCAGAGATAAGAACACTTCTGAATCATTTAGTTGGTAGTACTACTGAGAAAGACCATGACATCTGACATTTTGATGACCTATGAGGAGGGACCCAACTCTCTAATGCAATACACCTATCAAGATGATTTTCCGCTCCTCAAAACAGTTTTTCAACTCGTCAGTTCTGATACCTTTTAATGCTTCTGCTATTTTTTGTTTCATCTCTTCCATATTGGCAAAACATTTCCCTTTGAGGACATTTTTTTTCATCCAGGGAAACAAAACAAAACCGGTTGCTCAGGGCAAGATCTGGTGAACAGGAAGGGTGGGGCACGGAGGTCATGCTGTTTTTGGTCAAAAACTGAACATTCAGTGCCACATGGGCGAGTGCACTCATAAATCACCCATCATGAAATTGGCAAACACACTGAAAGAATCTCCAAAAAAAAAAAAATTAACTGAGACCAAACGCGGCCTCTCAGAATGCTAGCTGGTATGCTGTTGCCACTGGATTCCTAGAATATTTAACCTAGCAAAGAAAGCCTGTACTACAAGGGGTGCACGCCAAAGAACAATTCCATTTTGTGCGTGGGGGTCTTCTCTCATATCTGCTAATTAGGAGCGGGTTGTTCAGACTTCAGGACTAAACGTGAATCACCGAGGCTGTACAGATATGAACTGAGCTACAGTCACTTCTGGCTGAGAAAGGTTTGCTAAGCAATGCATTCAGAACTGTACACTGGCTAAGACAAGATTTCAGAATTCTCCTCAGGGAAATTCCTACTAATCTACTATCGTTGTCCATTTCAAACCATAAAAATAAAGACTGAGGCATTTCAACTCTTCCCAGAGATACCCTTGGCATAGGAATAGGCTGAAGAGTTTAAGTGGACTATTTTCTCCATGTATGAATTAGGTACAGAAGGTATGGTTCAAGGAAGCATCCTCCTCTTCCTCTGACACATTAAATAGATTCTCAAGAGCAAAAATAGCCGGGCTCGGTGGCTCAGCCTGTAATTCCATGCCTTGGGAGGGTGAGGTGAGTGGATTGCCTGAGCCCGTGGGTTTGAGACCTGCCTGGGCAACTTGGTGAGACCTCATCTCTACAATAAATCAAAAAATAGGCGGGCGTGGTAGCGCGCGCCTGTAGTTCCAGCTACTTGGCAGGCTGAGGCAGAAGGACTGCTGGAGCCCAGCAGGTTGAGGCTGCGGTGGCCGGAAGCGGCCACTACACTCCAGTCTGGGCGACAGAGTGAGTCTCCAACTCAAAAAAAAAAAAAAAAAAGAGCAGAAACAGGCATTCCAAGGATAATTTTAGAAGTGCATATATGGGCATGTTTAAGTGACCAGGATACAAAACTCACAGAATTCTTATTTTAGCTAGCAGAAGCAAACAAAAATGTTCTTAAGTAAAAATGAAAACACAAACTTGATTAAAAATGCCCAATTGGTCAAAAATTAGAAACCTGATCAAGAAATTATAGCAGATAAATCAGAATTCAAAAACATAAAATGGGAGAAAGGTGTTATGTTTTATATCTATAATGATTATACACAAGTTATCATGCTAATATACTAAATTTGTTTACTTTTTGAAGGTGTTGAACCTTTGCAAAAAGCTCCATAATTTGTATAAATGCACTTTAAATTTTAAGGTAAATGTTTAGAGGTCTCAGTTTCAAAATAATTGTCTGTTTGAACAAGTACATTGCAAAGAAATAATTAAATACTTAAAAACAAATCAAACAGCTACTTTAAAAATGTTTCTTCTAAAAAAAAAACTAATCACGTGCAAAGTCATGCTGTATGAAAAACAAGAGAAAATTAAATACTAATTATATTTCAACATCAATTTTTGTTATATTTTTAAGAAAGTAGCCTTTAGGACTATGGACTAAAATAATGCAAAGTTAATAAAACCTGCATTTACCTGGAGTCTATTAAGAGGAAAAAAAAGAAGTATAAGTCAAACTGCCTTTGATTTTTTAAAAAGTCATTATAAATATATGGATTTTGGACTAAAATCTCAAGAACTTTTACTTTATATCTTTCACTGGCTTATACAAAATTCTACTGAGAGACTAATTATACCCCTCTAGAATCTCCCTGAATATAGACGATGACTCTTCCTCCCAAAATTGGTCTTTTGGTAAGGTAATACCAGAGAATTATCTAGACTATAAATTAATTTTAAGATAATAGCTGAAGAAGAAGAGGAAATAGAGTTATTGTGCAATCTCCATGTTTACAATCTTCCCATACATTCTTGTTCTTGGGTTCTATCTGAACCATAACTATATTAGTAGAGTCATTACTTTAAGATACGCTTTATTAAGATTTTAAGTTTCTGTTTTAAAAATTCAAGTTTATAATTTTAAGTAACGTCATAAATATATCATTTGATATGCCCATATATCACATCATAAAGTCAGTTAAGAAACCTATTCATTTAACCAGCAAACAAACAAAAACAAAAGGCATATAAAACACACACACACACACATACACACACTCATGCGTGCGCCCAAGTTATCAAGACTTCTCCACATCTGGTATTTCTCCTTGAGTGTCAGGCAACTCCTCTCTACCTCCTTTCTACTCATCTATTCCAGACAAGGTAGAATGCCATGTACAGGCCCACTTATTTTCCCCTTACTCTGTGTTCATCTGGGAGAAAGTCTGCCCAGGTGGTCATTTCTTCCTCTGTCCCTGAAAAAGCAGTATGCTTAATGCTGCCATGACTTCACACAGGTCAGCTAGTATCACTTGGCTCTTGTGCTAGGTGGTATCTTTTACCTTTATCAATAACTAAGGTGATATTTTTAGTCACCATCTTAAATCATTTTCTTTCTTAATGTGTTAAGAATATAGATGGGTAAAGTGAAGTTTGATTATGGGCTGCAATGTAGAGACTTATAAGCAATCAGATGTGACCAGATTCTGGCTGAATCTCCTATAGCATGTCTTTAAAGTTCAAATTGCTTGAGAATGCCACCCATCTTACACAACACAGTGAGTAACAGGGCAGTATGCTTCTATCTGATACCAAATACTGCTTCAAAAAAGAACTATCACTTAAAACATTAACAGTATCAAAATAAAGTGAATTTATAAAATTGAATTATACATGAGGTTAGTGTATAAGTAGAAGAAAATTATAGCAAGCAACTCAAAACAAAGTAACCTGAGTACGTATCATTTGAGATGTGTTCAAAGGTCTAAAAGATGACTGTAATATTATATTATTCATCTAGTAGTTCTACTGATAGTGATAATTTTAATACTGTGATTTTGGACTTATTTTGGTAATAAATAAAAATAAAGTAATAATTTCAGGTTAATCACAGAAGAGTAATTAGGGGAAGAGGTTAAAAATTAATTACCTGCATTGGAGGAATGTGAAAATTCAATGAAAAGTATAAGGGTTTTAATCACTGTCTTAACAAAAAAACAACTTTTTTTCTAGTTCTTATCACTGAGTGGTCTCCTATAACAGCATAGTGCTTATTAAAAACAATGTTACACACATTTCTAGAAATCATATTTTGGTTAGTCTATTCTTCACTAAAAGAAATCAAGACTTCTTGAAGAAGCTGATTTTAGTGCGAGGGCAGAAAAAGTTTTAGAATATCTTCTTGACAGAATCCAAGGATAGTCACAAAAGTTCTGTGGTGATGTTAAGAAGACACAAACACTAATTTAAAAGAAGCTCCCTCTAGAAAACTAGCACAATATTAAGTTAATCAAATTCAATAAGTTAAAACAAACTGCTTGTACAAAAAATCCAAGAGTCCATAATAATATTCAAAAGGAAAAGAAAGACATTATTTTCACATTAATTTTTTAAGGATTAGGAAAAAAAGTGTTAATATGTTATTGCATGCATATTCTCAGGATAGGTAAAGTATATCCATACACAAAATTTAACAGTTAATACCAACAATAAAAGATGACTCTCCTCACATAAAATGTTTATGGATTAGCTAATGAGACTTTCTGGCTACCAGGACTTTCCTGAAACTATATATAAATGACATTCTAATAAATAATTATAAAAGATTAATAGTGTGCCAAAACATTCTATCACAGATACTGTTCTCTCAACTAATAATGATGGCCACACCATGATCTTAGATCTATGAACAGAAAAGAAAACTAGCTGCAAAATTAAATCGCTACTACCTTTTAAATGGATTTGGATACTCAGAACTTTGCTTTTGGGTTTGCTGGCTGGTGGTTTTAGCAGTTGCTCCTGGTTGCTGCCTTAACTATTCTTCCTGTTCTTTCAGATAGTAAAAAAAAAAACAAAAAAAACCCAACAACTGGAAAAAGGCCTTGCCAAGAACAGAGGACGAAGACTCACCTATTGTGCCTGCCTTTAATTTTAACCTAGAAAGCCACGGTAAGAGGTCTTGTCACTCTGGTCTGAATAGCACTGCTTCTCCTGTCAGTACTATTTTCTCACACCTATCTCGTCATGAGATAGCAATGCATTGATGGTGCTTACTCTTCATGTAGTAAAGTAATTTAATTTAACACTGCTGGATCTCTGGCCACAAGCCTAAGAACATGTGGAGGCATAAGAAATTATAAGGTACAAATTAAATATTCCACTTTTGTTGAAGATAATGTATATTTATATGGAATTGTTAGGCTGTTAAATGTCACTTGATAAAATTGCTAAAATGATACAAAAATATGGAACCAAAAAAAAACCAAAAAAAAAAACCGCCTAAAAGACAAACTGTACTTTATATGCTTATAAAAATTAAATTTAACAGAGGGGGGAAAAATCACATTAAAACCAGAAGAAAGGGCATTAATGAATCCTTTACAAATTTAAGTTTAAAGTAAAAAAGTACTGAATAAGTAACAAAGGAGAAAAACGTGAAATTCTGTATTCCCAAGTCTCATTCTAGTTAAACATGTGCTAAAACTGTAGCTAAAAGGAGGCATGTGTGTGTTAGTATGTGCATGAGAGAGACAGAAAGAGAGAGAAGAGAAAGAGAGAGAGAGAGAAAGAAGAGAAACTTGATACCTTTCTGAAAAATGTAGCTGATAGACTCAATTCTTATACTTTGCAGATCAGTTTCTCATGCTTGGCACTATTAACATTTTGAATGGGGCAATTCTTGATTGTGGGTGCTGTTCTGAGCATGGTGGAATATTCAGAGTCATCCGTGACCTCTACCCACTAGATGTCAATAGCTATTGTGACTATTTAAATATCTCCAGGCTGGGTGCAGTGGCTCACGTCTGTAATCTCAGTACTTTGGGAGGTGGAGGTGATAGGACCGCCTGAGACCATGGGTTCAAGACCAGCCTGGGCAACTTGGCGAGACTTTGTCTCCATGATAAATTAAAAAAAAAAAAAAAAAAAGTTAGCTGGGCATGATAGTGCACACCTGTAGTTCCAGCTACTTGGAAGGCTGAGGCAGAAGGAATGCCTGAGCCCAGCAGCTTGAGGCTCAGATGGCCATGAGCATGTCATTAGCAACAGAGTGAGACTCCGATCTCCCCCTGCCCTGCAAAAAAAATGTGTCTAGACATTGCTAAATGTCCCCTGGGTAACAAGAACTTCCCCGATTGAGAACCGATGGCTTTGAATATACAATCATAAATTTCTGTGAATATATAAAGATTTAAACAAAAAAAAACCCTGTGCTTTTAAAATAATTGTGATACACAAAAAAATTGGCTTGGCATAGTGGCTGACGCCTGTAATCCCAGTACTTTGGGAGGCAGTGGAGAGAGAATGGCATGAAACAAGGGGTTCAAAACCGACCTGGGGACTTGGTGAGACCTCATCTCTACAATAAAAAAATAAAAATAAATCAGCCAGGCAAGCTGGTGTGTGCCTGTAGTTCCAGCCACTTGCAAGACTGAGGTGGAAGGATTGCTTGAGTCCAGCAGATCAAGGTTGTAGTAGCCATGAGTGTGCCATTGCACTCCAGTCTGGGTGACAGAATGAGTTTCCGACTCAAAAAAAAAAAAATTATCTGCCTTATCTTTGGCATGAGTACATTTTCTATTATACACAGGCATTCTTCACAGTAATTGCTCTATTATTCACCAATAGAAGCAAAGTAGTGCAAAGTAGATTCTTTCAATAAATGAAAATTCTCTCTCTTCCTCACCACCCTCCCTAACTTGAACCTACTGTAGTCCGGCTTTTGTCCCCCATCATTCTCCTGAATCTCTTAGACCTCTTCAATAACCACTTTTCAGTAATTATCCTAATTGACTTTTTTGTAAATGTAATACTTTTAATCACAAAGTCTTCATGTACTTCTTCAATATTTTTAACTCTTACTCTGCCCGTATCATTTAAAAAATTTAACCTCTAAACAAAAAAAAATTAAACACTCACTAATATAAATGAAACAAAAAAGAAGAGAAAACTGTCCAACTTACCCTGTACAAAAGCAAGATGTATTTAAATCTAGAATGTTATAATTAAAGCTTTTAAATAAAGATACTGTGGTGCTAGAGAAGATTCCGAAAAAGATTAGAAAATGATTGAGTCTCTAATAACAAAAACAAAAAATAAACAAAAATAAAAAAACTTCCAGAGTGGTAGAAAGCAGTCTGAACATAAATCCACACTACAGATAAATCCTGACTAAAAACATGGATGGATTTAGAAAACAGTGATATACAGAGGAAAGGTTCATGCCGCTTTACAAATATGTTTGGAGATTATTAAATCTCAGTATTTTGAGAATAAAATCATGAAACATAATCATATTCCTTTTGGTGCCATGGAAAAATAGCTGGACTAACCACAGCAAAACACAGGAAGAGTCATTCTTATACCACTTTGCTCCTTCGAAGGAAAATGTACCATAGCCCCATTAATGCTTAGTGTTTATCTAAATTTAAAGATAATATTAAAAAACACTTCTGTGGCTTTTGGTAACTTACTTTAAGCAAGGTACATTATCACGAAGCCCATCAGATGAACTGCTACTAGTAGATGGATGAGACTGAGGAGGAATGGGCTGAGGATTGGAACCTCCCACGGGTGTTGGCAAAGATGGCAGCTGCTCACTCTCTGGAGTTTCCATGTCATTTATCTCATATAACAATCGAACTTCAAGCATCTATTGTAAAAATAAGGCAGTTTACCCAATAATTGTACATTTCATTACAATTTACACACACACAAATAAACTTCAGAGGAAAGAATTTTTTTATTATAAAGATGTGGGGTACAATTCAGGGTTAGATATACAATTGTTGATTATGTAGGTACCCTTGTTGATGAGGTATCCCCCTCCTTCCCCTAGGAGTTTCCCTCAACTGCCCATCCTATCCTCCTTCCCCTGACAGTTTCCCACTAGGGATTTCCAGTTTGCCAGTCCCTTTCTTATAGTATTATAATAATTGTCCAAGGTTCGCTTATGAGTGAAAACAGCAAGATTTCTAAAGGTAATGATTTAGAAAAAAAGAAAATGTTTTTGAATCAGTTTTTAAAAATGCATGTGTGTGTGTGTGTGTGTGTGTGTGTGTGTGTGTGGGGTGAACATACACACACACACATATACATGCAATATGATTTTCGAAATTATGGCACCCCTGTTAATACCAAACTAGAGTACACTCAAATTCATATTAGATTTCCTTAAATGAAACATACCATACACTTAAGTACACTTAAGGATTTAAATATGCGGTAAAAAAATATGTTATTTTTCACAAGAGAGATGACAATGTAAATCCTGAGATGTTTTCAAAAGTTCTATACAAAACTGACTGCAAATAGTCTTCAAATAACACAAATTTAAAATGTCAGACACTTGACACTGAAAATCACTTAAGAGACTATTACCGGAATGACTTCTGTAATTACTTCCTGTTTGCTGAATCTATAAATAATGACATGCGCTGAAACTCCAGCTATGCACAGCATTCTACTTTCTGGACACCAGGAGATGATCTGAATGGCAAATGGATCTTCATCTACAATATCTGTGTTTGGCCTGTCATCTTTATTTCTTGACTTTTCAAATACTTTAGATGTCTTTAGCTTATATAATACTTGTAGAGTTACTGAAAAAAGAAAGTTAGATATTTTGATATAAAAAGACAAAAAGATAATGTTTGTCCATATTTATATAACCCATACTTTCATTTCTTAGTTGACATTATAGTAGTCTAATAAACATTTAATGTACTCTTTGTATTCACTGACCAAAAAAGGGTATGGTCATTATAGTCATAAAAATAATCTACCATTATGACAGATTTAGGTAACCTATAAAAGTGAATAATAAAAATATTTAGGAAAAAATGTATAAATACAATGAAAATAATAAATGACATATTTTGCTTCCTAAATGATTTTCTACACATTTTCTCTATAAAAAGTACAGTACCAACATTATCAAACATTCCTTGATGAGGAAACATATATCCTGAGTTATCTGGATTCCCACTGAATGCTTGCTATGTATGTTTTGCAAACATTAATAATTTTTTAAAGATATTCTTTTGTTTTTTGCTTATATATAGCTATCAGATATTACTTCACAAAGACAACGTAATTTTGTATAGCTATCAGATATTACTTCACGAAGACAACGTAATTAATTAAATAAATTAATTAAGCTTAAAGTCAGGCATTAAAATTACTCTGGAAATTTTTGTTAACTTGGAATATATTCTTGTTGTTCCTATCTCTGAGTTAGAAAAAGAAGATGTGAAGAAATTTTGAAGAAAAAATTTGAATACTTAGGTTGAGAATTATTCTTGAATTACTCATATTTTAAGACTATTTTTACTCTATTAAAAATTCTAAACTCATATACTTAATAAATCAAACATTAAAGTTATAGCCTCTAAATTTAAAATTAAATGCTAGTTATACAATTATTATAAAACAGGATGTGTAAAAGCACTGATTGTATAACATGACAAATAATGAATATTCAAAACACTTACTTGCAGAAGCATCCCAGAATTTAACTGACCCATCAGCATGTCTATAAAAAGCAAAATTGAGAATGTAATGAATATAATTACATTTTTTTTCCTTTAAATGTAGATTGTTACTAAAAAAGACAGTCACCAAAATGAGTGAAAGGCAAAAAATTAGGGTAAAGTGGCAGGTTCTTGACAATAGCTTATTTCACATTATGTTGCAATAAAAGGAACATGAATTTTAATTTATTTACCCAATAAATTAAAATTCATGTAGTCTTACTCAGTTATATTTAGCTAATATTGGTCTACTTGGTGAAAACAGACTTTTACTTACCCAGTAATAATTATTTCTGGGTAACTTTGAGCACCCAAACCCCAATTGCCTCCATTGATGGGCCATTCCTATAAAAAAAAAAAATGACTATTTAAAGCAACTTACAAGTATACTGTAAACCTTCTCTCACACACACACATACACACACAACAGTGGATATTGTACTTTGCTTCTAAAAATGACTTCCTATTTATCTTCTATAGCAAAGGTATCAATCTTTTTTTTTGAGTTGGAGTCTCACTCTGTCGCCCAGACTGGAGTGCAGTGGCCGCTCCTGGCCACCGCAGCCTCTACCTGCTGGGCTCCAGCGATCCTTCCGCCTCAGCCTTCTGAGTAGCCGGAATTATAGGCATGCACTACCATGCCCGGCTGCTTTTTTGATTTTGTTGTAGAGATCAGGTCTCGCTGCCTGGGCGGGTCTCGAACCCGTGGGCTCAGGCAATCCACTCACCTCAGCCTTCCAAAGGCGCGGGATTACAGGCTGAGCCACTGAGCCCGGCTAAAGGTATCAATCTTATCAAACACTCCAAGGTAATAAATATAAAATACTAAAAAGTAATGTTAAATACTGAAACTCATGTTCAATACCTTTTTGCTGTAACCTTGACGTTTCTGTCTAGCTCCAACAGAATAAAGTGCAGGAATAAGGTCCACAGGACAATCAGCAAAATATTCACAACACGTAACAGGGGACTCATGTATACTCAAAGGGTAGGGATTTTCAAATATAGGATATCTTTAACAACAGGAAATAGAAAAAAAATTAATTAAATAAATTATAACATACAATTAATATAAAAATAAAAGCTTTAAAATGTACATTCTACCACAGAGATTAAACTGATTAGTTTATATAAATATGTAAAAAATTGAAGTCTTTTATAATAAAAGATGCTCAATTAGAACAGTAAACAGAAAAGTTATAGTTGCAACCACATACAATGTGCCACACACTAGACTAAGTACTTTAAATAAACATTTCTCATTTACTTCTTATACCAAACTTATGATATAGGAATTTTACTAAAGAACAAAGACTTTAAAAAGAATAACGAGTCAAAGCATGAGAGCTATCAAGTAGCAGATGCAGAATTAGGTTCTCAATCACATACCTTTCCTTACATCAGTAGAGCTAATATAAAATTTCAGTTCTTTTCCTGTCGATCGATACGATAAAATATTTAATTCAGAATGTTCTCTTTGTTGAATAATAATATAAAATAAAATTTACCTTAAATATTTTCTAGTTTTAAAATTATTTTATTAAATGAAGCAAAAGTGCTTTTAAAATCATAAAATTAAAGTAGAATCCTATCTAAATACACAATGATATTTCTTTTCTGAGTTTTAGGTCCTTAGAATGAGGACAGTAATTTAAATGGATATTCAAAATTTATGTCTGAAAAACCAGACACTGGATAAAGAAATTTAACAAGGGCCAAGTGACTAATCTGCAAAAACTGGTTCAGCCTGCTACTAATGATAATTGTTGAAAACAGAGGAAAGTTCAGAAAAGTTCTTTGCAGACTACAAAATGAACACAACTATTACCACCTCTTCTGCCAACCAAAAGACAAACACAAATAACCACATGCATTAATAACAAAATGGCAACCAACATTTTTCTCTTTATAACAGTTACTTCCTTAGTGCAATGCTATTATTATAACTACACATTTAATTGATACTTTTGCTAAATAAAATGCCTAGCCACAGGTTACTTGCACACTATTTTCTTTGACTTAAATATATCTCAGTAGAGACCACGTGTGAAAAGTTTCAATTATTTGAAAAACTTGCCTTGCCTAAGGGGGGAAAAAAAAAAGAAAATCATATTAAGAATAAGTTATTCTAGGACTATAATATAGAAATAATTTTCAAATGATCCTATCATTCTAAAAAAGAAAAAACGTCACAACTGATTATTACAAGTAGCAGGTGTTAAGTTAAAGTGAATTTAGGAATGCCTAAAATCAGGTAAATAAAACTGTTCATGTACGGCAGGGTTTCCCAGTCTCAGTACTATTCACGTTTTGGACCAGATAATTCTTTACTGTGGGGGACTGTCCTGGACACTGAGGATGTTTTGTAGCACCTCTGTCTTCTACACACTAGATGCTAATAGCATTACTCTCAACCCCAATAAAAATGTTTCCACAAACATTACCAAATATCCCCTGAAAGATAGTATCACCCTTGACTGAGAAACACTGAATTACTGAATGGGCAAACTCAATTAAAACCATGTTTAATGATTATTTCTACAGTTTTACAAATAAGTAATACAATGTGCTTCCATTCAAAGATTTAAAAATTTTAAATATATATATTTAAAACAGTATATTTACTATACCGTTTTATATATATATATACATATATATATATACTTATATATATAAAACGGTATAGTATAGACATATATAGACGATAATGTGGTGCTCAGTGTTCCACTTAAACGAAGATGTTATTAATTTAGAAATAGGAAATTTTCACTAACTTGACTTAAGACTTATATCCTCATTTGATCAGAACAAGGACATAAAGATCACTGTGACACTTCAGGCAAACAACGTAAGCTCTGAGAGGCATGTAGCACCCACTTTTATAGTTCTCTTGACCCCAGAGGCAGTGCCTACTCCAGGGGTATGAAACCCAGCGTCCCTGGCCCATTTCTGAGAAGGGTTCATAGATAAATTAATCTATGATAGAAAAAGCAGAATATGGAAAATACCATGAAAAGTTACAAGGAAGCCATGGTGGGAATTTAAAGACCACATATGATATATTTGGTAAAGAGAGAGTAGGAAAAGCTTAACCAAGAGAAGAAAGTTGATTTTCAAAGTTATGTGGATTTTTAATGGCAGTAAAACAAGTAGAGTGTTTCAGCTATTGGGAAGTACGTAAGAGAAGGTATGGAAGCATGATGTTTGTTGAACACATAGTTCAGTTTCTGCAGGGAGTAAGGCACCAGTGAGAAGACAGTAAGAGGCCCGGTTGAAAAGGAAACCTGAATTCCTACTGTTTAAAGTAGCAGGCTGAGAAAGTGTTTTAAATTTTAAAAAAAGCAATTATGCTTTAAAAAGTAGAATCACAGATTGGTACTTTGTGTAATATTAATCTAGTGATGGTATGCACATCACACTGCAACAGAGAGTGAAGACAGGTAGAGAGACTAGAAGATCTTATTTGGAGGTAAATAGAGATGGTACCAACTTGAGACATGCTTATTTGTGTGGTCCCAGGATATCAGACTGAATCATACAAAATTTCAGAAATACAACAGATTTCAACTTAAAAATGGAAATTCTATGAAATTCAACATAACAGACATTTCACAGATAATTAGAAAGGTAGATCTGGAGGTGTAAAAAGAGGTTAATATTATGAACACATATATAGAGCTTTCAAATAAGTGAAATAGTTAATCCTATGCTTAAAGAAATATTTTTTCAATTACATACTGACAGAATCACTCAACACTTTTTATTACTTACCCATTTTGTGCAAGGTCTATAAGTACTAAATCCTTCTCTAGAAGAACAACCACAGCATATGGTTCTTGAAAATCTGGAATGGAAGAATAGTTTAAATTCATAAACAATAGTTTTAAAAATGCAAACAGCAAAATAGGTATTAGGTGGTTCTTGCTTGGATTTTTTTATCCTCTTGAGTATTTAACATTCTGATCTTATGATACTTCATGCATGTAACTGATGTCTAGTATGCTTTAGATGAGATAAGTCTATTTAATAACTCTTTCAAAATTATTTCACTTTAGTAAAAATGAGTAAGACAAGAAGCTCACAGCAACTTTCATGGTACTGTACATATTAAGACTGGACATAGACAATAAAACCAAAATTTAAATCTAATACCCATAAGAACAATTATCATTATTTGATCTCACAGGAAACCAAAAGACTTCTACTTCTACTTTAACATAATACTTTTCTCGAAAGTTTCATATGTGCCTGTTAACAACTATAAAATACATTACATCTTTATACCTCAGTAAGTGTCAAATAAAGTAAAAAAGAGCCAGATTTAAATTCTTCTTAAATCATATATGGTAAGCTGTGATGGTTAATTTTGTGTCAATTTGTCGATGCTATGATGCCCCCAGAGGGTTGGTCAATCTAGATGTTGCTGTGAAGGTGTTAGATGTGATTAATATTTAAATCAGTAGATTCTGAATACAACAGATTACCCTCTGAATGAGAGGGCTTCATTCAATCAATGAAGGCCTTAAGGACAAGGACTGAGTTTTCCTGAAAAAGAAGCAATTCTGACTCAAGATTACAACATAGAAAACCTGTCTGAGATTTCAACCTGCAGATTTCGGACTCAAGACTGCAAGAATGACTCTTTTTTGAATTTCCAACATGCTAGTCTGCTCTGTGGATTTCAGATCTGCCAGCACCCTCAACTGTGTGAACAAATCCTTGAAGTCAATCAATCAATCCCTCTCCTATTGGTTCTGCTTCTTGGAGAACCCTGACTAATATACTACATTTAAGAAGCATTTTAAAATGTTTCTTAATATGAATAGTGTTGTTTATTCTTCAGAGGTACTTACTAGTAATATGTAATACTAAACACAAGTTTATTAAAGAAATTCTGAAATAAAATTTGCAAAGTTATAAGTGCAGCATCTCTTTCTCAAAAGAATTACCACAACAGAATCAGGAAACCACTTAGCATATAGGTCTCTGTTTTGAATATGAGGTATCTAAAGAGAATGAGTTTTAAAGTTGCTAAGCTTACCATTTGGGTATGGCGTTTCACATAATGTTAGAAAATCAACAATTGAATAGTCCATTTCTAGCACAGCAGTACTTTTCCCATGCATCACTGTTAAGCAAGGTCTTCTTCCTACAGTATCATATGATAAACCTCCTGATAAGATAATAAAAGGTTCCCTGGAAATAAAATACATGGTTAGGATTATAAGTAGTGCAATGAAGACTATTTTCTTGCTGTATCATAATTTTTTTGTTTAATGAAATAACAATATTTTAAATTCTAACGTTTTTATATATCATATAATGGAACAGTTTCATGTGGCATTTTAAATTGGATTAGGTAAAGCCCTGGTGCGTTCTTGAAAATTTGCCTACTATAAAAATGAACATTGACCACATAGACTCTCACACCTCCCACCTATCCTACAACTTTTTCGTTTATCCCCTAAATAAAACTGTCATAAAATTCTCTCTGGGTTTCTGCTAACATGTCTCTTGAATGTGCTGCTTTGACTTCCAGTCCTAACCAGGCCTTCTCAACATAAGTTCCCAGACAGGATCTCTTCATGCCTTCAAGTACTCACTATATGTAATGAATTAACTTCTCAAGAATGCATCAAGAATTGTATTCTGTACAAATTGCAATTAGGAGAACTGAGAAAAGAGTCACTCAAGTCATTTCCTGTAGGCTTTAATTTTCTTCTGGAACCTTGGTTGACTCTCAAACCACAGCTCCCATCTACACATTTATTGGCTGCCAGTTTGTTAATTCTAATTAGTCTTACAACTCTGTTAATCAAATTTTTCTACTCTCTCCCCCATTAGTCATTATTAAATCTAAATGATTTATCTAGATCCATTTTTTAAAACTAATTTTTTTCATATATTATAATATTGGTGAATTTCTATATCTTTAACTTGCCTTTCCATTTGCTGAAAATTTATGGTACATCATATAGATGATTTAAAATTTTTTGTATATGATTATCTGAAATCGCTTCATTTATTTCTTAATTTTTTAATGCTTTTCCTAAGGCTAGTGTATCTATATTCCTCCTCACCCACTGTTCATGATGTTATCTCCTTCTTTTCCATTTATTGATTTTTTTAAGTCTTCACATTTTTATAAGCTGTATGTAATAATACTAATGGTTAAGAGTGCTAGTTTTGAAACTAAACCACCTGCATTTAAATTTTAGCTTTGGATTTACTTTCTGTGTGATCATGAACAAGTTGCTTAACCTCTCTGTGCCTAATTTCCATGTCTGTAAAATGCAGATATGGTGATAAGTATCTAATCTCAGACAATTCTTAAATTGGACAGTAACTGGCCCACAGTACACCCTCAGTAAGAGTTAACTATTAATAATGTCAGTATCATCATGTCATCATTATCACCCCTTGTGAAAATTTCCCTTCATGGTAAGTGAGAAAAAGAAATTAAAACTGCTAAATTGTATTTATTTTTATCTAAAACAAGAATAAATAAACTACACTAAAATTTAACTTGATAGTCTGACAACCATATAGGTATATAACTTATAAGTAAAAATAAATATTAGGGCAAAAAGTTCAATTGTTTTTTAGTAATTCAACATTTTACCTATTTAAAATATATAAAACTTGTATATATGTGTTTGTATATATAATTTGGGAAAACAATACCCTTATGTATCCTTTCTTCTTTCTTTGCTTAATTTTTTTCAGAGCATGTATCATTATATATAATTATATATATTTATTTATATATTTATATTTATTTATTTTGCTTATTGTTTTTCTCATCAAAACTATATGCTCCATGAGGGCAGGGGTTTTCTGCATTTTGTTCACAGCTGTATCCAAAACAGTTCTGGAACAGTGCCTGCTATTACACAGTAGTAAACATTTACTCAGTAAACTGAATAAACATTTTTTTTCCAATAAAAAACAAATAGGCCAAGTTTGGTGGCTCAGCCTGTATTCCCAGCACTTTGGGAGGCTGAGGCAAGTGGATTGCCTGATCCTGCAGGTTCAAGACCAGCCCGGGCAACTTGGCAAGACCTCGTCTATACAATAAATAAAAAATTAGCCAGGCGTGGTAGCACGTGCCTGTAGTTCCGGCTACTTGGAAGGCTGAGGAAGAAGGATTGCTGGAGCCCAGTAGGTTGATACTGGGATGGCCGTGAGCGTGCCACTGCACTCCATCCTGGGTGACGGAGTGAGACTCCAACTCAAAAAAAAAAAACTAGAAAAAAAAATGAATAGAAATATGTGTTGTATTAACTTTTCTCTAGATTACTATAATTTAGATTTTTCACCACTAAACTGATTTGGGTAATCTTTTCCTAGCCAAATTGCAGTAAGAACCTTAAAACTTTATCCTGAATAGAACCTCACCCATATATTCATTGTTTCAATTTTTCAGTATACTGGCATTATTATGACTGTAAAAAAGTATATAAAATTTTCTTCCATTTTTAATAACAAAAACTAATGAATAAACATAATATATTTTTTCTCTTTTACATCTTAAAATACTATAAACAACTGAATATAAAATACCAGAAGAGGGAGACGAAATCAATAGAGGATTAATATTTGTTAAATTTTTTGAGTGGGAGACCTGAGCCAGGTATTCTCTATGTAGTATTTTACATATCACATCTTTGAAAAAAGTGTTATTAATGCTAGAAACTTGAACAAGAGATTAAAGCTAAATTACATTACAGAAGAAAATATTCAAAAACCACCCATGGAGATCAAACTGGGTACATGACCCATTTATACAGTTTAGATAGTTTAACACTGTTGCAATTAGGTAGGTTTTTCCTCAGAAGGAAAATCAATTTTTGTTCTGTATCTTTGTAAGCTGCCTGTATTTATTTTCTAAACTTAGGAGAAAAATTATATGGATAAAAAAAGAGAAACAGTTCTAAATGAGTGCCAACTGACCTGTGACGAAAGCTATTTTCTTTCTTATAATAATAAAAATTTGCCAAATTCAGCAATAAATGCTCTGCCCTTACACACACACACAAACACACACACCCCATACACCCACACACCCATATGGGGGATCCTAAGAAAAACAGGCATCAGTGTACCAGTTAGGAACCCATCGGCATTGGCGTACCAACTAGCTTTGTGAGAGGCTACGTTTTGGCTTCGGTGAATTAAAAAAAAAAAATTCTTTCAATACATTTGTCCATCTCATGATGGGTGATTTATACAAACAACCTGTCCACACCATGCTGAGTATTCAGCAGTTTTTGACCAAAAATACTCAGCATGAGCCCTGTCTCCCAGTCTCCCTATTCACCTAATCTTGCCCTGAGCAACTTCTTTTTGTTTCCCTGGATGATAAAAAGTCCACAAAGGAAAATATTTTGCTTATGTGGAAGAGGTGAAACAAAAAATGGCAAAAACACTAGAAGGCATCAAAATTGACAAGTTCAAAAACTGTTTCGAGTGGTGGGAAAAGCATCTCAATAGGTGTACTGCATCAAACAAAGAGTACTTTGACCAGTGACTGAAGTTTAAACGTATAAGAATAAATACACAGTTTTTTATAAATAAATTCCAGTTTTTTGGGGGGTTCCCCCTCAAGTCTATGTCTATCTATATAATTTTAAAAAACATTTTGTTATTTTATGTGCTGTTTCTTTAAAATTGCCAGGCAAGAACCACCCAACGTATGAAATCCCATAGGGTATATATTTTTCATTATAATGCCCCAATACTTAAAGAGTAAATACTAATGAAATGAATATTTTACAAAAAATTAGTCATAAATATAATAAAGTTAAATATTTTAACACTACACAGCAAATATTATAAAAATTCAGTTTTGTTGGCATTTGGAATTTTAATAATATTCTGGAACTCTAGGTTATATCTAGAGATGAGATGTGGATTACGGAGATAGAGAATATTTATTTTTTAAATAAAAAGGAAAGACTTTTTGATGTTATAAGGGCTAGAGGAAATATAATTTGTGTTCCATTACTTTAAGTAGAATTTTAGTAGAATCTCTTTTAATGACATAAGATGTTAACTAAAACCATCATTTTGGAAGACATCCAGGTTAAGGAGATGTCAGTTTGGAAGTTTTATAATTTGACTGAGTTTTTAGAGAGGCTAGATACTTGAAGAAGTGCACATGCTTTCTGTCAATGATTAACCTCCGCTGGCCTGCCTTGACTATAGGTTTGGCTGAAGCTGTGTTTCCTTATGAAGTATTCTTTACTTAAAAGAGCCAACTCTAACCAGAAAGCCATTTGTATAACTAATTTTCTTAACTCAGCTCTGTAATACTACCTATTCATTCACTCAAAAATTTTTGAACATCTGGGTTCCTGGGAATACAGTAGTGCTCTCATGTCCAATCTAGGCAATGAGCACACTGTGATAAGTACTATAAAGACAATACAACACGGTTAAATGATAGTCTGACTGTGAGAGTAGGGCTAGAGGGGTTATGGTTAAGATGGCATGGTCAGAACAGGTCCTGGAAATGACGGCAGATGAGCTGAAACCAGAATGAAAAGAAGTCAGTGATTCAATGAGCTTGGGTTGAGGGAGAATGAAGTCCACTCTAGGCTGCAGGAATACTACTGCAAAGACTCCATGTCAGGAATGCGCAGGGTGTAACCTGAGGAACTAAAAGGCAGTGGAGGTGCAGCATGAGGAAGGCAGTGCATGGCAAGGGATGAAATGACTGCAAATCTTATAAACACATCCTGTTTGCTCTATTAGGATCTTTAGAATTCATCTCCTCCTTTTCATCTCCACAATTATCTTAGTTCTGGCCTTTATCATCTGCAGCTTATACTGATAGAATAGCATTAGGACAACTGTTCACTGAATGGGATAAACTTTCCTTCATTTTTTGTTTAGCTGGTTCCTGTTCCTCCTTCAAAACACAGTCCCATCATTATCTCCTCAGAAAAACCTTTCCTGACCCATTCACTCTGAGTTGGAGTCTCCCCTTCGTGCTCCTAAGAACCTTCCACATACCTCTACTATTCTGCATTTATCATGCTGAACTGTCATTGTTTATCTATTTCCCCTCTGTATATTTCACCCTCTAAGGGGTTTGTGAAAAACAAACTTGTGAAGCACACTAAAAATACTGATAAATTCCTTCTACTAGGTTTTTGAGCTATTAAATCAAAATGAAATAATCAAAAACAACC